TTATTATTATTATTATTATTATTATTATTATTATTATTATTATTGAGGCGCATCGAGAAAATCAGTGCGCAAAAAAATAAAAAAGCGCGGTGAGAGGAAGCGCTTTTTTGTATTTTTTCGCGCACTGATTTTCGCGCTGTGCCCCAACTAACTGAACGAGGCTAACATTGACGGGACTGCATAATTCAACTTGCGTGACAACATTTTATTTTATTGTGCGAAAGCCACGAATAACCTGGAGAATCATGCAACCACTTGTTATACCAGTAAGCAGGAAAGTTTTTTTGAGAATCATTACCTTCAAATGCATCAGTCATTTTACAGATCTGTGAAAATGACGCTCCGTTTGCCCAAGCGAATACCACATCCATGATATGAGGTTTAAAGGACTCCACGTAAGTTTCCACGTCAATTTGAAGCTTAGCTTCTTCTGAAACCTTCTGATACGCCGAGCAGATTCCTAGAAGACAATATGTGATGTTAGAATTGAAAACATAGTAACGCAATGCAATGAAGGCAAAATGAACAGCTACGATGTGTTATGTGCTAAAATCTACCAAAACAGCCACACGTTGATTCATTCTTCGATGACTAATTATCTGACTGACTGACTGTCTGTCTATCTGACGGACTGTCTGTCTGACTTACCAGCAGACTGATCACCACCCAAAGAACCAACTGCTTGTCTATCTGACAACACACCAACAGACTGACTGAACGACTGATTGTCTCACTGAACGACTGAATTACTGACTGACTGTTAGATTGACTGACAAACAGTCAGCCTGTCTGACTGGCTGACATACTGTCTGTCTACTGGTCTGTCTGTCTCTGCTGTCCGTCCATCCATCTGTCTGGCCGAACTACCGACTTATTAACTGACTTACTGACAAACCAACTAATTGACTGATCGTTTGTTTAACTGAATGACTGACAAAGTGATTTTTCGTATAAAATGCCTAATAAACCGACAAGTCGGACGTAATAATCAACACCAACACTGACTGACTTAGAGCCGTACTACATGGAACTGTCCATAAGATGTTTGGCTGTCTGATAGACAGACAGACAGACAGACAGACAGACAGACAGACAGACAGACAGAAATTACTAAATATATATCAAGTCAAGACCCGGCCGGCCATCGGCTACTGATATACAATGTAAACTATTCCTACCTGCATCTGTCTCAAGGGACCTGCCAACTCTTCTGTCAGTTTGGGCGATTCATCACTCTGTTTCAAAGATAAAAAAAAAATTATGTGACTTTAATCAGACAATGTCTTGTAAACTCATGAATGCCACAATAAAACCAAGATGAAAAGTGTATTTCCTGGAAACAACAACAACAACAAAGACAGCCTATCATCCTATGTTATGATCCTTTTCGATTGTCATCTAACTTTCTCTTAAATTACCATCTCAGTAGTCAGGTGACGAGAATATTGCAATTAGTAGGGGGGAATTTGTCTCGGGGGTGGGGTGGGGTGGGGGACTCCCATATAAAGGACAGGGGTGCTCGTCGGTAATTTTGAAAAGAACCCTAAGAGGTACCAAGATCCCGTTTTGTGGGTGTGGCTTGAAATTTTATTTTCACCCCTAAGGGGTGCCAATTCTAAAACAACACATTATCTCCTGTCATATTTTTCTCGGCTCAATAACCTAAAAGTCACGCCCCCACGAACTTGTCTTTTGAGTCAGAACTAACAAAATCAATGCCTACAAGAGGAAACCAGTTACAAGCTGAAAACTACAAATACATAAATAGGTAAATGAATACATGACTATACCTTTTCTTCAAACACAAAACAGCTGAGCAACGCCACGCACTGTTGAACTGTAAGGTCGTTGAACACTTCATTGAAGATCATCTCTGTGAGTAAAAGCTTGTCTCCACTGCGAATGAAGCATAAAATGAGATTAATTTTGACATACGCAGTTTTCAAAGCCATTTCATTTCACTTTCACAGGTGCCAATTTACCAAAAAGTACACAGTTAACCAAATCTACATGTAATTATGGGTTTTGAACGTCTTTGCATCGCTTCTATCCTTTATTGAACTGAGATATTTTCTGAATATAACTGCACAAGGGTAGTGGTGAATGTTGCATGGCTCAAGAACACAAGACAAGGAGCCCTGCCAGGGCTTGCAACTGATCTCGATATCTGACTGAGTATGATATACAAACAATTTTCCTGCACCATGTCTTCCACTTGTAGTGAGGACTCGCACATGGGTTGAAATGTTAGGTTTTTTACCAACCTGCTAAGTTCACAAGCTACATGTCCTTTGAGCTCAATAACATCTGATGCCGTGGTATATCCTAACCTGGGAAAAAGAAAACACACAAGGATGCTGTCCATTAAGGTTGTAATTAAGAAGTGTGTATCAGGCCAAAACATCTCATTCTGCGGGGGGGTTTAGCCTGGTTTCTGAGGCATTAAGAGTCCAGAGGTATTTCTATTACTCTCTGGATGGGATGCTAGTCCATTGCAGGGTTACTCCCAGCAGTAATTTTGCTGGTACCCATTTATACACCTGGGTGGAGAGAGGCACTGTGAGAGTAAAGTGCCTTGCCTAAGAACACAACACTATGTCCCTGGTCAGGGCTCTAACACACACTGTTTGAAGCAAATCAACCATTAAGCCACCTCACCTCACCCCTGCAGTGGTTCATTAAAACAGTATTGCACACAGTTTCTGTCTACAACATGAACATTTCAAATCTGGTTACCTTCTTAAGACTCGTTTCCTACACTTGAGTTCATCAAGTTGTAAGATTGTCTTTGTTCTCTTCAGTTCTTTCCTGTTTTGACCTCAGCTAAAATCTATGAAGAAGAAACAGAAATATTAGTTCCAAACTGACCAGTTATGACTAGAACAAAATGCAAATAATACAGACGATCTTCCGATGAGGGGGCACCCTTGGGATCAAAAGTAGCATAATGATTGTATGTGGCTTTGACCATGACTACAGGTGTCTACTTAATTGGAGCTGTCCATTTGCCGAGGCTCAGCTGCAAGAAAGTGACCAGTGGAAAGAGTGGGAAAGCAAATGAAAGTCAGAAAATGACTGATTTGAACTTTGTCACTTGTTGGTTGAAAGAGGCCCATGCTCTTATTTCTAAGAGTTCACTTAACAATTGTTAACATAGAGCCTTATACTGTAGGTCCACAATATAGCCACATAGTGCTTTGGACACTTTATGTACCTATGATGCTAGACAATAATTATTGAAGAGTGGAGAGAAACAATTATTAACAAAATGTTAGAGATGTTTATCCTTGTTTCCCGTTGTGCACAATGACCACAAACACAAAGTTGATTGTTCACACAAAGCTTTCAATTATAAGACAGGCCTGGCCCACTGGAACTCTGTTGAGTATTTGGAATATTTATGAATAACCAGATAAAACAGTTTTCAAAATTTGGCCTCAAAAGGAAGTTGTTCTGGGCTATTTCATCCAAATCGTTACCTGTGCTTTCTTTTCACATAAGTTATACAGTGACTCCAGAGAGGGATCCTTGTGCAGTGGATGAGTGTACATACGATGTTCTAATGTCTCTATTTTCTGTTTAAAAGCAAAAAAGCCACAGCATAAATCATCTAAATAAATAATATTCAAGGCTAAGAGTTGGAGGAGGNCTATGATGCTAGACAATAATTATTATTTATTGAAGAGTGGAGAAAAAACAATTATTAACAAAATGTTAGAGATGTGTAGTCTTGTTTCCCATTGTGCACAATGGTCACAAACCCAATGTTGATTGTTCACACAAAGCTTTCAATCATAAGACCTGGCACTGGCCCACTGGAACTCTGTTGAGTATTCTGAATATTTATGAATCACCAGATAAAACAGTTTTTAAAAATTTGGCCTCAAAAGGAAGTTGTTCTGGGCTATTTCACCCAAATTTAATAAGAAAACTTCATCATTACCTGTGCTTTCTTTTCACATAAGTTGTACAGTGACTCCAGTGAGGGATGCTTGTGTAGTGGATGAGTGTACATACGATGTTCTAATGTCTCTATTTTCTGTTTAAAAGCAAAAAAGCCACAGCATAAATCATCTAAATAAATAATATTCAAGGCTAAGAGTTGGAGGAGGGAGGGGGTAGTTTTACACAGCATTTGAGGGCAGAGGGCAATGAACTGTCCTTAAATTGGATGCTAGATCATCATATAATGTGTTAGGCAACCCATATGCCAGGTTGCCCCAACAATAGTTGTCTGTGAACAGGCTCTCTAGTTGAAGATGGGGCGAAGAGAGGGAGGGAAGAAAGAGAAGTGAAGAGAGAGGAGGGGAGAGAGGAGCCCAGTCCCCCTCAGCTACTTCACTGTTAGTCTAGCCTGTGTAGCAAGCATTCCTGTATGAGCGGAACAAAATGAGGCCACCCAAAAGAGTTTTTTGCATTTGGGNGGGGGGGGCTTACAAGTGAGTGCACTAACTTGTAGGGGGTCTAGAGATATTTGTAAATTATTTTTTAATGTATTTTTTGCTGTTCTAATATTTCTCTCAGATTGCACGGTTGTTGGTCAATCTTATTTTCAAGTTTTGCCACAGAAACGAAAGTAATTTATCGTTGAAGACATTCTTTAAATGTAGCTGTGGTCTTTCCTATTTTACCCATCTCAATGATATACAGGTATTGCAAAGTTCATCTCAATATGTTAGCTAACCTTTATGGATTTGCCAACACTCTGCCGACTGTCCAGTGACCTCAAGTCTTTGGGGATATACAACCTGACACTACTGATTGCCTTCACCAGATTCAACAAAATGGGTACCACCTAAATTGGCAAATAAAGTCCACTATTTTATTAGCAAATTAATTACCATTATGATTTTAATTTTCTGTTCTGTCTTTAGTTTTAGCTCCAATTTAGAAGATTCAAACACTCAAGCCTGGATTTCACCACATTTTCAAACACCACATTCTCTTCTCAGTGTTTGGAAATGTGTTCAAACACATTCTTTTGTGTTTGATATATTACATCAAAAGTTCAGACAGCATGTTAGAAAGTTGTGTTCTATAACCTGTGTTTAAACTGATAACCTCAGTTGTAACATAGCATCTAAATGTGTTGCAAGCTCATCAAACAGACTAACCAAGAGGACACTGCACCTCCCATAACAAAGTTGTACTCTTACTTAGCTGTAACAGAGAGGAGGAAATTAAGTAATGGTGCAATGCTTAACTCTAGGTTTAGGTATTAAATCTTACNTAAATTTTTCAAGACTGTTGTTTCTAATCCATGTCAATCTTCTCCATCCTTAACCATCCTGGTTCCTTTGTGGTTTATTATTACCCTTTTCTATCTTGTTAAATTATTATTTTCAGGTTTCCTTCAATTTAGAGGTAATTTTGCACATAGCCAACATAACTCAAAATGCTGTGACTGAGCTCCTTTAACTTGCTTGATTAAGCTTTGGTCTGGTGTGAATAAACTACCAACCAGCATGTCATTTCCCAGTCTTTTCAGCTGTTGTCTAATTTTGTAATATGACGTAATGGACTCTTCATTTGGGATTTCAAAAGTGTCCCTCTGGGCTTCAAGTTCTTTAAGTTCTGCAATTATAAAAACAGGGAAATTAAATTATTTTATAGAGTGAGAGATTCTGATGTACACTTCATTTTACCATGAAACAAGTGTGCATGTACTGTAACAGGTACTAGCTTGTTCCTATGTTTGCACGGAGCGGTTTTCAATTATCTCTTGTGACCAAAACTAAAACAATCACACAGGCTGATTACAAGGGATGCAGACATTCCAGTGAACCAATCAAGACTCAAAGCAAATACAAAAACAAGGAAACAAGTTTTTTAAGTCAGTCATTTCCTGTAGAAAATGGAAAACCAAAGCAAATGTGAATTATACAATCATGTAGCAAAGGGCTGACGAGCTGCTTGTTTATAAATGCAGGTAACTGAGTGTGACCAATTAACCGAAACTGAAAGCTACATGTATTGAGCACTGCTGATACTGTTCAACTTCTAAGGTGGTTCTAATTTTCATCCTAGCTTGATCGTTGCCATAAATGAAAGCTATTCATGTAGTGCTGTTTATTATGCACAGCAGTACATAGTTGTTGGTAGTTCTAACTTTTAAGTCTTGTGGGTGAAACCCTTTCGTACAACCATTTAAATGAAGGCAATGAAGCAGTACTTACTGTCAATCATGCCAGGTACAGATGCGTAATTCTGAAACTGATGAAAAGATTTTTCTAGCATAATCTCAGGATTTACTTCTTCCACTCTCAGCAAGTTCAATACCATGTTGTAAGTTAGATGGAAAGCACTGTTCAGCGGATCTGCTTGACCCTGTTCACAAGCAAATGCAAACAAGAGGAAAAAAAGTTAGAATTCATATAAACTTTGTAAGGACCTTAAAGATCAAAGTGAAGGTGTGAGGACAGCCCTTCAATACTAAGAACATGGAGAAGCCAGTAAATAGTCATGATTCTACTAGTTTTCATACTTTTATTTCCATTTCTGAACTACAAGTACTTGTGCCAGGTTTTTCTCTCACACCCTCAAACCCCGTCTCCTGTGCTTTTGTTGATACTCTTGCCCTAATCACTTATGCAGCCACAAGTGAACAACACAACCATACCATTTGCTAAAAAACAGGAAATTTACTACATGTAGGTAGAGACAAACTCTTTCACTGTTTGAGTAACAGTCAAGATGTAATACATGCACGTACAAGTGATCAAAAAATTTTTCTTCTATATCAGTACCTTTAACAGTTCTTTTCCAACATCAGGTCCCATTTTTTCATCCACTATCAAAATGACGATTCCTCTGTCGTCAATGCCACGCCTTCCTGCTCTACCACTCATTTGAATGTACTCTCCTGATGTTATCTGAAAGCATGAAAAATGAAACACTATTCATTCCAGTATCTGAAATAGATTTCTTTGTACTATAGATCTTAATGGTTGGTGTTTATAAGGTAAAGGTTAAGTCTGCATACATGTACGAACCAGGTGGCCTATCAGGCCGAAGCTTATCCCGGTTTCTGTAGCATGAAGTGACTAGGAATATTTCTACTCCTCCCTGGATGGGATGTTAGTCCATTTCAGGTACCCCCAGCATTAAATTTCCTGGTACCTAATTATACACCTAGGTGGAGAGAGGCACTGTGAGAGCTAAGTATCTTGCCCAAGAACACAACACAACGTCTCTGGCCAGGGCTCAAACCTGGGCTGCTCGATCCGGAAACGAGCGCACTAACCATGAGGCCACCGCCCCTCCCATGGTGTTTATTAGAAAGGGTGTTAAATGATTATTTTTGTTAGCTATATATCTTAATCAAATTAACTCAAGGTTATTAAACTTGAAAAATATAATTCATTCAGGACTTATTTACAACTCTATCCTGGGGAACTGGCGTTGACTCTGGATCCAGTATTCAACTTAGAAAATAAGCTAAATGAAATCGCTAGTTATGTTGTGCTCAGCTATCAACACTTACAAATCTAAAGTCTTTTCCATCAAATTTCCTTGCATTTGTAAACACAACAGTCCTTGCAGGCATGTTAAGGCCGAGGGCAAATGTTTCCGTGGCAAACAGGGCCTACCAAAACAACCAATACTAACCCATTAGCAAATGATATTAACAAATAAAATATAACAAAGATTGGTGGGACAGATTTCCCAAGATCAAATAATTTCGAATTGGAAATTATTTATTAAGACCATTAGTGCATTCAATCAATTTTATCCATTAATCAAAAGCCAGCTCAAGCTATGGTGTGTGGTAACCAGCAACCATCCATGAACATTACTACATGTCCTTTAGTTAATTTTTTTCACTCCTAAACTTTACTAACAAATGGACCCTTTCAACTTAAGTATAAAACTACAAAATAAATGTATATCCAGGAATCTCAATAAGGGCCATAACCCATAACACCTGCTATGGCTGAGTATGTTTGATGGGCCCTTTGTGTTATGAGTGAACTTGCCAATAGTTGATACTATTCACTCAAAAGGTAACAAGTCTGTTATGTGTGTGAAGATCAGGGCTACAGGTGACTAAACTTAATGACAGCCTTGATATCCTCTAGTTGATCATTTTCTTCACTCCTGTCACCTATTTCCTTCAGAATATACATGTACTGATGACGTCATGAGAAAAATTACATTTTATTTTTGACTGCCTGGAAACATCAACCTGGTTACAGACAACTAACCTTGATTAATCCTTCTGAAAAGAGGATTTCAATGGTCTCTTTCAAAATTGGAAGAAGTCCTGAGTGATGGATTCCAATGCCACGTTTCAGAAGTGGAAGAACATGTTCCACCTAAAAGATTAAAAGTTCTTCAATTGAGTTTCTAAAAAATTATTCAATCGAGTTTCTCATGGGTGTTTCCCTGATTGCAAATAATGATCGTTTCTAGATAACAGCGAGGCTAAAAAAAAAACTTGAATTCCAGCTTACTCTTCTAACAAACAGCTCTCAAATTTTGCTTACCCTAGGCAAGTCTTAGTTTACTTATTTTCTTACATATATTTAGTCGACAGATGACTTACCTGGACCCTTGCCCATCAGGCAAGTGAGAATGAAAAGTTACTTACCCGGTAGAACCGGACAGCACTGTTTTCGAGCCTTGTGAAAGCATGAGTAATAATGCTACTCCAAGTTTGTTTTTGGTGACAAGCTCATCTTTTTTTTCGATCTCTGGAGGATTGATTTTCTAATTGATTCTTGATACTATTTTGTGTTTTGAAACTCAAAATTAGATTCTCTCATCAATTGAGTATTGAGGACAAACAGTTGGGAATGAAGTCTTCTCAATGCTACATTAATACAGGCTACGATATACACTAATGATCAAGGAATTGAAAATAACAATGAATCATAGATTTACACATTGAGTCATGAATGCTGTTAGCTTGGTCTGTCCAATAAGAGTGTATTCCCCTTGATGTTGATGTGTTACAATATCCCTTACCTGAGGAAGCGTTTTGTCTTCATCTGATAAACAATCAATAGCATTGTTAAACACTTCTTCTACTAGCTTTTTCTCTTGACCTGAGAAAGTAACATGAAAAAAAAAAAAAAAATTAACCCCAAAAAAGCATGAGAAATCCTATGTGGAGTGGACAGAGTACACTAACTTAATTGGAATGATATTGGCAGTGACACATCTCGCAAAGAGGTTCTTTTTCCACTGTTTCCAGACCGAACTCGAATTCAGAAGTGCTGGGTTTTATAGAGGGAGGAAAACCAGAGAACCTGGAGAAGAAACCTTAGAGCAAGGATGAGAACTAACAACAAACTCAACCTACATGGCACAAGGTCTGGGATTGAAATCTATTCAATAATTTGCAAACTCTTTGATTGTTATTCCACCAGTCCAAGCTATTTAATATCTCAGCAAAAATTTGATGTGTGTGTTTTGCTGAATGGAAAAATAATGTGTTGTTCGTGAAAATATCCATACCCCTTCCACATTAATTTATTTCCTTTGAACCAATGACCCCTGGAAAGCTTCATACTCTCTTTTAAAAATTATGNCCCCCCCCCTCCCCCTTGAAATTGCTGTAAACCTTCCTTTGGGTGGGTATGGATATTTTCTTGAACTGCACAATGCTGACTATACATATTATATGAAGTTACAAGTGATTGAATTCTTACCTGAATTGAAGTCTAGTTTAGACATCTGAAGGGCATATGCTTCACATTCTTTCTTGCTGAAGCTGAAGATAATCACAGGTTGAAAATTCCTCTCCATGATCATTTTCACGATTTTAAAACAGTTTGAAGGACCTAAAACCAACAAAAGGTAAAGTTTGANAATCTCATTTTGCAACAACTAAACCAAAACCAATGACGAGGGTACAAAATAATAAGTCTGCAGCACTTCATACTTTTGTTAAGTGTCCAATTTGTTATAGAACTATTGTTTGCATTCTTCAATGTAATTGGCTTAGTTAAGAAAAAGATTGCTATTCTTTGTTCTCAAGAAATGTTCTGATTGGTTAACTCTTTTCCACGGGACCCAGTTTGAGCAGTTGCACATAATAGGAAAATATTTCTGGCTAGGAAATAAGTACACCATACCTGTTTGTGAAGATGCGCAATCCATTCAGCAAACTGCCTGGCATTAGGAATGGTTGCAGAAAGGAAGACATAGTGTACATTGTCTGGTAACAGAATGATGGTCTCTTCCCACACAACACCTCTCTCTGAAAACAGTTATTTGTACTTATTATTATAACAAACAAACTTGGTAAGCATTCAAATCACAGAATTATATCAATAGTGATCTAATCTGACCTAAATATCTTCTTATAGTTTACCAAAAACTAGCATAAATGTATGTGCAAACTTGCAAGAAGCAGCATTTTACTTTAAATTTCTTGTTTTTCCCCACGTTACTAGAATTTTACATGACGATGATTGTTACTCAATTGATGATGACTTAATCTACTGTATTTTATAAATTATAGACCAAAGCTTGGCTTTAATGTTAGAATGCTTGTATCTTGCCATATATTGGACAATTCAAGTGCAGTTACAGTTTGTGTTTAGTACATTTATGTTTGATTTAGTTTGTATTAGAGTTCACTTAATTGAATCCTCAAGGGACACTAAGTGTGGTTTTTCGTTGGCTGAGGAAAGAAAGAAGTGGAAAACATTTTCCTCGCACACGGCTGGGCGTCTGGGTACAGGTGTGCGGGGGGTTCAGGTCACGTGGCTTGTGTAAGGTTTCAGTTTCTGTTTTACCATCCACCATTGCCTGACATGCCCCACCCACCCACCCATGATGTACTTGTAGAATGTGTTAAGTTGAGGTGAAGTTATTCTCTAGCCACTTTTTGTGTCATTGTAAGACAATTATGTTCTTATGTTAATAAATGTCAGGCTGTGTGGTTCGGCTTGGCATGGCTCCCAGCAGTGTGTGAGAAAGACTTTATCCTTAATCAAACGATAAGTTCTATGTGTAGATGTATACATCTTTTATATATTTTTGGCCGTGTGACAATTTTCTCAGTGAATTTTTATCTTTTAGACCTTTTGTATTTTTACTTATGTGTTCTAATAACAGGACCTCCTTTGATACCAGTGTTTATTATACTGATGAGGTTATCCTGCATAAATATTATTATTACTGTTATTAGTATTATTATTATTGATATTATTAAAATTCTCTATAGCTTAGTTAACTACAGTACCTACCTTTATCTCTCATGTAGTGAATTTCATCAAACACTACCCAAGCAACTTCTCTCATTATCTGTCATGAAGAACATAAAAAACTGAAATTTATTTAATGTCATCTTTGAGGCTTCTTGTTTAATGAGCCGCACTTTGTTTTTGAGCAGAAATTCTTTACATTCTTACCTCAGAACCTCTATACAGCATATTTCTCAGAATCTTGAAGAAAGCATAGTAGTATAACTTGTCAGAATAAAAGGTATTGGGTGTTCATCACAACACTACAAAGTTTACATTGTAAGTTAAAAAAGTATTAAAAAAACCCTTAACCTTGTATACTATCAACCATACATGAAGTGTGTTGTCAAATAACTTGTGATGATATAATTATTGTATCATAACCACAACAAAGTTTCAGAAAAACTTTAGCTGAAAGTTTATTACTTTTTATAACTTAAAAATAGTTAAAACTGTCTACAAGATCCATAACAGAAGCAGCCCATTCAAGTACATGTACACCTTTGGAACACATAAATGATGCACACTATCCAAAATTATGTAGTACGGGGCTGTCATTAAGATTTGAGTCACCTGTAGACTTGATCTTCACACCTGTAACAAACCTTTTACATGTACTTTATGGGTGAACTGTATCAGCTGCAGGCTAGCAACATCAAGGGCTCATCAAACATACTCAGTCATAACAGGTGTTATGGGCTACGAACCTTATTCACAGCCTTTTAGCTAACAGGGTTGTATTGCCCAGCCATTATGCTTAGTAAACTCTTGAAAAGAATTTTGGACTCCCAACAATATTTATCCAGGTTGCATGATTTACTACACAGTGTTTGAGCCACACATAGCATAAACTGACATAGCTAAGACAAACAAAAATTACCATTATATTAATTTATTAAGTGCACTGAATAATTTATTACATGAATTTAATATAAATGTATGTACAATTACCTCTGTGGTCATGACCAGGGCACTAGCACTGGGATTGATTGTGACATCTCCTGTCATAAGGCCAACATCTTGGAATTCTTCGTATAACTCNGTTCATCACAACACTACAAAGTTTACATTGTAAGTTAAAAAAGTATTAAAAAAAACCCTGAAACCTTGTATACTATCAACCATACATGAAGTGTGTTGTCAAATAACTTGTGATGATATATTGTATCATAACTACAACAAAATTTCAGAAAAACTTTAGCTGAAAGTTTATTACTTTTTATAACTTAAAAATAGTTAAAACTGTTTACAAGATCCATAACAGAAGCAACCCATTCAAGTACACCTCTGGAACACACAAACGATGCATGCTATCCAAATATACTACACCAAATATGTAGTACAGGGCTGTCATTAAGATTAGAGCCACCCGTAGCCTTGATCTTCACACCTGTAACAAACCTTTTACATGTACTTTATGGGTGAACTGTATCACCTGCAGGCTAGCAACATCAAGGGCTCATCAAACATACTCAGTCATAACAGGTGCTATGGGTTACGACCCTTATTGACGGCCTTTTAACTAACAGGGTTGTATTGCCCAGCCATATGCTTAGTAAACTCTTGAAAAGAATTTCGGATTCCCAACAATATTTATCCAGGTTGCATGATTTACTGCAGCATGTTTGTGCCACACATAGCATAACCTGACATAGCTAAAACAAACAAAAATTACCATTATATTAATTTATTACGTGTATTGAATAATTTATTACATGAATTTAATATACATTTATGTACAATTACCTCTGTTGTCATGACCAGGGCACTGGCACTGGGATTGATTGTGACATCTCCTGTCATAAGGCCAACATCTTGGAATTCTTCGTATAACTCACGATATTTTTGGTTACTCAGAGCCTTTAGGGAAACACAAGAGTTACAGGGTTCTATGATAAGTTAGGAAATTTTCTAGATGCATGTATAGAATGTAAACTACTATTAATTGTCCTCATCAGTATCAGCTGCCCTTACTGTCTACAATGAATGTTTAAGCAAAAACAACAAACCAGTACATAAGGTATGATGTTCCAGATTTACATGTACATACGCATGTACATGTACAGGCCAATCAGAGAGCAAAAAAAACAAAAAACAAAAAAAAACACAGAAACTGCTACAAGCTGCTAACAGTGTTAGCTACATAACCTTAAAATGTTAATAACAAGCTACCTGCTTAACTTCTTACATGCATTTTGTACATTTAGAAGAACAAAGACAAGGTGAAACGTGTCTTTCACATACCTTTATCGGTGTAGTATAGATTACTCTCTGCTTGTTCTGTAGTGACATAGCAATGGCATACCTAAACAAAAATAAGAAGAAGTGCTGACTAATTCTCATTCACATAAACTAATTATGTGTATGTTTAGTTACTGTTCTAGTTATTGTACTGTACATGTATATGCTGCAGTTCAATATTACCCTTGGCACAATTTGAAATTTTCCTTTGTTTCAAAAACGTCATTAATTAGTAAATACTATCATACACCAGAACAAAGAAAAATACCAAATTGTAACAAAGTAAAATTAAGCCACTATACAACCACACATAAATCAAGTGCAAAAGGCACTTGTGAAGGTTGAGTACTATATGCCCCTGTGCCAAAGAGGCCTTACAGAGCAACAGCACAAAGAGACTGAAAAAAAAAAAATATTGCTTCTCCCCCTAGCTGGATGCCTCCCTCCCAACAGACCTCTCCCCACTGCATTCTGTCAGGTTGCCCTAAGCCTGCCTGGTACCAATTTAATCTCCTGTGTGAACAAGGGCACTGTGAGAATAGAGTGTCTTGTTCATGAACGTGCAAAAAATGACCCACACCATCATTATAATCCAGGCTGTTTGATCCAGAGTCCAACATGTAAACTAACAGGCCTACTCACTAACAGGCCTACTCACTAACAGGCCTAACACAGTAGTGGAAATACTTGTAGGCCATTTGCAAGTAACCTTGTGTCTCTGTTTCAAAATGAGTCCTCATGCAAAACCTTTTATGTGAAAATGAGTTTGATTTACATGAAAATGAACCTCTAGGCAGAACACATTTTCACATTGATGGTTTCCCACGAAAACGCGTTTTGACACAGAGGTACATGTAAGAGCCAACTTGGAAATGGCCTATTAACTTTTAAGCCTGAATTTTTCACAGAAATGTTCTTACTCTGCCACAACTGTTTTCCCAGCTGATGTATGTGCAGATACCAAAACAGACTGGTTGTTTTCCAGACATTTCAGTGACTCTTTCTGGAAAGGATCCAGAATGAAAGGGTATTCCTGGCAAGATATTAAACAAAGAGGTTGTTTAGAATGGACAGCTCATTTCAGCTTAGTGGGCTAATTATACCCCACCACACCCCTCTCACACAACACAAACAAAAATGAATCTGTTTAGGCATCTTTGTAGTCACACAGGATCTTCTTTTGACAGGAATCCTGGAATGCATCAGTGCAATGTTCCAATATCAATTTACTGTTTGCTTGGGACAGATTGCAGCTTTCAATTCACATTTGCTTGATATGCTGTTAAGTTCCATTTCCCAACAATACAGATTTCTCATTGAAGGAACAACTTCTGGTTTGACTGTAACAAGGAAACACAAAATACCTGAGGGCTTGAGGAATGCGTTCAAGGCTGCAGAGTAAAACTGATCAACTGTTTACAATGGACCTTTTGGGCAATATGGCTATCTTTGAATTCCAAGTTTCAAATAGCTATTATGGGATACTCAGTGGGTAAATTAGTATTTATTTGTCCCTTAATCATCCCATAATAATTATTTGAAACAAAATGGCCAGGCCAGCATATCAAAGAAAAGGTTCATTGCTTTGACATTAATACTGTTGTTGCTAAATGCTCTATTTTTGTGTTCCAATTTAGCAAACAAGTCAAAAGAATCTGTATAACTTTAAACAAGTACATTAGTAAGAAAGAAGATTTTCGACTAATAAATATGTAGATAACGGACTCATGGATCACCTGGAAAAGTTGACACACTTTCACTGTGTACGGCAGGGCAGGAAAAAAAAATAGAAATCCACTTGACCAGTGGGCCAGTAAATTTTAGTTTTCACTTGCCCCCACTTAAATATCACTTTCCAATGTGGCTGCCAGTATGGAAATTAAAGGACAAACATGAACAAAGTATGCTTGGATTCCTAACTAATCTGAGCATTCAACCTAATGGTTAACTACATGTAATCTTGCTAGTCTTAGTTTTGAAATAGTTTCAGACTGGAAATTATAATTTATCAAGCTGACATTTTTATTCAGACTCACAAGACTACTGAATGAGGCTAATTTCACTTGCCCAGCAGGCCACTGAACTATTATTTTCACTTTCCCAAGAGCAAAATTTACTTGATCAGGGCAATCAGAGCTGGGGTTTTTCCTGCCCTATATACATGACCTAACATTTTTATGTCATTCGTCTTTGATCAACCTTGTATTTGAATTGTGCAAAAAAGTAGATATACATTGTATCTTGTTTGTACAATACTGTATGTGGATATTGAGTAAGTGAATAAATGAAACATATATTGTATTTTGCAAATATTATGTGAATCTATATAAAATAACCAACCTTAGCAGGTTTTGTTGCCTTCTGGACCAAGGGAACATATTCACATCCTTCAGGTACTGCAACCTTTTCAATGAAAATGAAAAATCTTTAAGTCTGGCTCAGTATAATACCCATGCCNAAAAAAAAACACAGAAACTGCTACAAGCTGCTAACAGTGTTAGCTACGTAACCTTAAAATGTTAATAACAAGCTACCTGCTTAACTTCTTACATGCATTTTGTACATTTAGAAGAACAAAGACAAGGTGAAACGTGTCTTTCACATACCTTTATCGGTGTAGTATAGATTACTCTCTGCTTGTTCTGTAGTGACATAGCAATGGCATACCTAAACAAAAATAAGAAGTGCTAACTAATTCTCATTCACATAAACTAATTACATGTGTATGTTTAGTTACTGTTTTAGTTACTGTACTGTATATGTATATGTTGCAGTTCAATATTACCCTTGGCACAATTTGAAATTTTCCTTTGTTTCAAAAACGTCATTAATTAGTAAATATTATCATACACCAGAACAAAGAAAAATACCAAATTGTAACAAAGTAAAATTAAGCCACAATACAACCACACATAAATCAAGTGCAAAAGGCACTTGTGAAGGTTGAGTATACATGTATGCACCTGTGCCAAAGAGGCCTTACGATGTGACGGCACAAAAGACTGAAAAAAAAAATAGTGCTTCTCCCCCTAGATGGATGCCTCCCTCCCAACAGACCTCCCCAGCCCCTGAATTCTGTCAGGTTGACCTACAGCTAACTGGTACCAATTTACTCTCCTGTGTGAACAAGGGCACTGTGAGAGTAGAATGTCTTGTTCAAAAATGTGCAAAAAATGACCCACGCCATCATTATAATCCAGGCTGTGTCTCTGTTTCAAAATGAGTCCTCATGCAAAACCTTTTATATGAAAATGACTTTGATTTACGTGAAAATGAACATTTAGGCAGAACACATTTTCACATTAACGGTTTCCCATGAAAACGCGTTTTGACACAGAGGCAAGAGCCCACTTGGAAATGGCCTATTAGCTTTTAAGCCTGAATTTTTCACAGAAATGTTCTTACTCTGCCACAACTGTTTTCCCAGCCGATGTATGTGCAGATACCAAAACAGACTGGTTGTTTTCCAGACATTTCAGTGACTCTTTCTGGAAAGGATCCAGAATGAAAGGGTATTCCTGGCAAGATATTAAACATAGAGGTTGTTTAGAATGGACAGCTCATTTCAGCTTAGTGGGCTAATTATACCCCACCACACCCCTCTTACACAACACAAACAAAAACCAGTCAGTGAATCTGTTTGGGTATCTTTGTAGTCAAACAGGATCTTCCTCTAACAGGAATCCTATAATGTATCAGTGCAATGTTCCAATATCAATTTACTGTTTGCTTGGGAGAGATTGCAGCTTTCAATTCAAATTTGCTTGATATGCTGTTAAGTTCCATTTCCCAACAATACAGATTTCTCATTGAAAGAACAACTTCTGGTTTGACTGTAACAAGGAAACACAAAATACCTGAGGGCTTGAGGAATGCGTTCAAGGCTGCAGAGTAAAACTGATCAACTGTTTACAATGGACCTTTTGGGCAATATGGCTATCTTTGAATTCCAAGTTTCAAATAGCTATTATGGGATACTCAGTGGGTAAATTAGTATGTATTTGTCCCTTAAGCATCCCATAATAACTATTTGAAACAATAAAATTATTCAAAATGGCCAGGCCAGCATATCAAAGAAAAGGTTCATTGCTTTGACATTAATACTGTTGTTGCTAAATGCTCTATTTTTGTGTTCCAATTTAGCAAACAAGTCAAAAGAATCTGTATAACTTTAAACAAGTACATTAGTAAGAAAGAAGATTTTCGACTAATAAATATGTAGATAACGGACTCATGGATCACCTGGAAAAGTTGACACACTTTCACTGTGTACGGCAGGGCAGGAAAAAAAAATAGAAATCCACTTGACCAGTGGGCCAGTAAATTTTAGTTTTCACTTGCCCCCACTTAAATATCACTTTCCAATGTGGCTGCCAGTATGGAAATTAAAGGACAAACATGAACAAAGTATGCTTGGATTCCTAACTAATCTGAGCATTCAACCTAATGGTTAACTACATGTAATCTTGCTAGTCTTAGTTTTGAAATAGTTTCAGACTGGAAATTATAATTTATCAAGCTGACATTTTTATTCAGACTCACAAGACTACTGAATGAGGCTAATTTCACTTGCCCAGCAGGCCACTGAACTATTATTTTCACTTTCCCAAGAGCAAAATTTACTTGATCAGGGCAATCAGAGCTGGGGTTTTTCCTGCCCTATATACATGACCTAACATTTTTATGTCATTCGTCTTTGATCAACCTTGTATTTGAATTGTGCAAAAAAGTAGATATACATTGTATCTTGTTTGTACAATACTGTATGTGGATATTGAGTAAGTGAATAAATGAAACATATATTGTATTTTGCAAATATTATGTGAATCTATATAAAATAACCAACCTTAGCAGGTTTTGTTGCCTTCTGGACCAAGGGAACATATTCACATCCTTCAGGTACTGCAACCTTTTCAATGACAATGAAAAATCTTTAAGTCTGGCTCAGTATAATACCCATGCCCACCCTAAGGAGGGTTATTGGAAATCCTAAGGGAGGAGGGGTATTCTCCAGTTTTAGCTGGGATATATTCAGTCATGTGATGTATATAGACCAATGGTGCATAAGTGAAATTATTGAGTGGATAATTTATAACTCATTATTATGTTATTGTTATGGTATCATAATTATTTCTCATGTTTCAAACTTCAATAACCATAATAGGCCACTTTCGACATATTAAAATTCAGCTTGATAGTGAAGCCCAGAGGACACAAACTTAAGAAATGAATAGACATGGTCATTCAATTTCTTTTGTTTGTGTCCTCTAAAGCCTTACTGCCAAGCTGAATTTTAATTTATCGAAAACGGTCTATTCAAATACTATTGCGGGATCCTTATCACTCAAGAGAGAGAAAGAGAGAAAAATAATCACACTCACCTCATGATTACATGCTTCAATAGTTTCAACACTTATTACATTCACACGAGGAATTGATTCCACAAGGCTGCATGGGAATAATAATGGACAAAAAACACAATTGTCTAAATTTTTCCTAGTTTCCTTTCACAGAGGTGTAGGATGTAAGGACCAGCTGAGTCTGTACCCCTCAATTTTTTGCCCTTAATCGAAGGATAACTTAAGAATTCAGGCAATTTTTAAAGGTATATTTGAGTTTTAAATGAAATCAAGTTTACCTTCGATAACCAAACTCAGCCAAATGGACTATGTCATATCGATCCTGAGCTCGATTTCGCTCCATAGATTCATTAAAAATCTTGCTCGATAAGCCTTATCTGAGAGCCATCATACATGGCATAGTATCACTTCTTACTAAACACATGAAGAATATGTCAAGAAATATAAAGAATTTAAGTCTTACCTCTCTAAATCGTCTAGTTTCGCTTTCTTTGCTCCAGACTCTTCCAAAGTGAGGTCGACGATATCCGGCGTAAAATCTCTTTTCTCCCCAATATGTGAAACATCTGTAGATTTTGATGGACCATCTTTTTTGTCTTTTTTACCCTTTTTGTTACTGTTTTCTCCGGAATCGTCCTCGAAAACTGCAAATATATCGTCTTCACCAAAGGCGTCCGCCATGTTTCACGTGTGTGTATTGGGTAAGACCGCTGAGAGTGAAAATTTTTCAGGCGCGCGAAGGTTGTCGGGTATAAGCAATACACTATTGCCGCTGATACAATTCCGTAAGGGCTTCCGTTCTGGATGGGCTTATAAACGGAGGGGCTTATATCTGAGGGGGCTTGTAACCGGAATAAAAAAAAACGTTTCGAAACGAGCTGTAGCTGCACATGAAGTACAAATTGACGTCAGTGTTTCATGCGTAACGAATTTCGTTATAACAGACTACTTTGACAATGTTATGACGAAATTCATTGTCAATAACAGTACAGACGCTTAACAAAAACTGACGAGAATTTGTTTTTTACAATAACAAAATGGCAGATATGGCAGAAGGGATAAAATTAGTCGCATAAATTATAAATTCATGTGTCTGTCCGCTTATTGATAATGAAAATTAACCAATGAGCGTTCGAGAATTTCTACGGTTATGGTAAAAATGGCTTTTTCATTTTCTGGTAATTGAGCTTTAAAACATCTCAAAACAAGGAAAGCTAGAGGAGGGGCTTATATCCGTGGGGGGCTTATAACCGGATGTAATTTTTTGTTTTACAGCTAGCTGGGCGGAGACGCTGTGAATAGTCTAATGTTAACTAGGATCATAGGTGACACGCGTCCTTCATACTCCTCAGTATGATTTCATGGTGATGAATGAAGACAAATTTAGACCAGAAAAAAACTGTGGGCTCAAATACTTCTTGGAAACAGAAATAATCAGAACAACCCTTTCCCCCCACCTCCCGCCCTCTGTTCCCTTTAGACGCATGGTAAATACGCACTATTACAAGAACTTTGAGGTACCGTCCGCGCCACGCCGGAGAAATTTAAAAACGGAGCTTTATTTCTACACTAACAGCATACCGTCTACACTAACCCGTCATAAAAACGGAGCTTTATTTCTACACTAACAGCATACCGTCTACACTAACCCGTCATAAAAACGGAGCTTTATTTCTACACTAACAGTATACCGTCTACACTAACCCGTCATAAAAACGGAGCTTTATTTCTACACTAACAGCATACCGTCTACACTAACCCGTCATAAAAACGGAGCTTTATTTCTACACTAACAGCATACCGTCTACACTAACCCGTCATAAAAACGGAGCTTTTCGAAAACGATGACGTCACGATAATCACGTGATTACCCTGCACGAGTTTTCCTCAAACACAAATCCAAAATGGCCGGTGGTTGTGCGTTTTCAAACTTCTCCGGCGTAGTGTGTACGGAAAATATTTGAAGCGTTTTCGGAGTGAAACCTCCGTTTTCAAATTTTTCCGGCGTAGTGTGGACGGGGTTTGGGTATATATCATCTTTGTGATAAGTGAATAGGAAAAAATTCAATCTCGCTAACTCTTGTTACAATCTACGATTTCTGGAGTTTCGGATCGCTGGAAAAAAAATTTAACTGATCGTTAAGATCATATGGATACCACTCTCTAGAGAGTGTAGTGACCGTTGCCAGGATGAACGGCGTTAGTCTTTGATCCAGGCCTTCTCGGGCAGTTTATATTCTGTAGCAATGGTGGTCGAAAGCCCCGGAAACTTTTCGGGCCCGTAAAGCCATTTTTAGTCCATCTGTATCTAAAAACGGAGAAGTGTATACGCCTGAAACTTCTTGTATGAAGGGAAATTCTCTTCATATTAAGAATACGTGAATAAAAAAGCTCTGTAATCGTAAGGTTCGAGATTTTGCTATGGCTTTACGGGCCCGAAAAGTTTTCAGGGCTTTCGAGAAACGGCCCCCTCGTCGTTGAATTGTGTGCAGTGATTTTCTTGCTCTTCGCGCTCCTCAAGTCACCGAGCGCCTGGTTTCAATGAACTATATATTCTGTATTTATTGCAAAGCAGTTAAAGCATTTCCTCATTGGAAATTGGCAAATGTAAAGGATTGGCGTAGATAAATAGACACCTTTATTTAAAAGTAAACAGTTAAAGGTAAAAATATCAGGGTAGTCCCTTCAGGGAGCTTACAAAGCATCTGTGCTATCAATAGGAGTCCTGAAGCTATTACCTAACATAGATTACACAATTATAGGATATACACAAAAATAAAAACAGAAATATAGGAAAGTATATTACAACAAATATCAAAAGCCTATAACTACCATAGTAATATCTTCAAATTTGTGTACATTTACAGAATTTATTAAAAACAGTACCTCAGTGATAATATATCGTATGAACATGATAAATAGAAAATTCTTCTCGGCGCGCGTTAAAAATCTCAACGCACTTAAAATGATTAATATATGTAAAGATAAAAACGTTTTTTGGCGTATTTTGAGTCTCTGTTTCATTCTTTCGTACTTAGTAGCCAGCTATCTATCATGTCCAACAACCATTCCCAGCCCTGGTAACTTTCTATTGCTATTAACCTTTGGATAGTCTGACGCACTGTGCTGATCTTTAATCTCAACCTAGGAAATAAAAAAAAAACCAAGTAGAACGCGTCAGACAGGGCATAAAAATTAGTTGAAATCGACTAGATTCTGTCTTTCGTTTAATAAATGAGACTCGCTGAATGGGAGCCGGAGGGGTGGCGCGGTGGCCTCATGGCCCGGCAGGGCTACTTCCCTACATGGGCTATATGATGTGCGGCCCTAAAGGATATGGTTTTTCAGCCGTTAGGGTATTGTTTAATGCACTCTAATCTTGAATTGGGTATGCTTTTGTAGAAGAAGCTTCTTTTTCATCATTGTCGATAGGACCATCAACAAAAGCCCTTCACAAATTATGTTTAGGGCAACTGTGCCAGCCGCAACGGTCACAAATAGGGTATCAAAGTTTTGGTCAAGTCAAATAGGTTAGGGAATGGTAGATATCTTTCCTGTAAAGAATAGCTGAAATGTACTGAATTGATTCCATTTTTTAAAGACTTTAATCACTTTTGGACTGTAAGGAATCCTTGTTATGGGCGTTGCTATGTTGAAATACAACCACCAGTGTGCAGATTTCAGCGTAAATCAAGGAGTGATTAGAGAAAAATCGTTTCAAAATACGTTTTGCAAATGCTCAGTTCATGTTTCGGAAATTTTGGTTTTTTTTTTTAATGGGGAGATACCAGGAGCCCCTAGGGAAACTTTATATTTCAGGGTATAAGACCACCAAAAGGGACTAGACTAATCCCCGACTTACACAGCTCATTCGTCCCAATCTCGTTCCCAGAGTCTTCGTTCCACTTGACCAGCGGTGGGAAAACGAGAGCCCTGGGAGCAACCATTTTGAAATAACCGAATTCTGGTGATTCTGCCCTGCCGGTTTCACTGCGCAGTCTGTATCTATGGCGCATGCCTGAAATGGTTGCTCCCAGAGCTCTCGTTTTCCGACCGCTGGTCAAGGGGAACGAAGACTCTGGGAACGAGATTGCATTCGTCCTGGTTAGGATTCATCTTTTGACTTACGCGACAGCCTTCTCGGGCCATAGCTAGGCCACCATAAACTTGGAAATTCAAACCTGCTCTATTACAAAATGAAGAATCCTGTCGATCTTAAACGTCATAAAATGTTAATTTCTCAGAGGAATTTACATCTGACGAAACTTAAACTTCAGAAGGCAAAATGAGCTCGTTGCATTTGATGCAACTCCAATAACTCTTACAATCTCGGAATTTTTGGATGCCGGTAGCGGTGAGGGTAGCAGTGGTTGGGCAGGCAGGCAGGCAGGCAGGGGAAAGGGGCAGAGGGGACAGAAACCCAAGCCTTGTAAACAGCGTTAAAGGAGCTTACTCGCTAGCACTGACCTGCATGTTCCCAGCTTTCCTCGGATGAGTCAGATGTTATCAACTTCGTTTCGGGAGGGCGGGAAGACGAGAGACCCTGGGAACGACGTTGAGATATTATGTTCAGATTGCTCCTCCGTCTTTGGGTCTCAATTGACAGGCTTGGGTCGGTTGCCGTGCTCTCTATTTCGTCATACCCTCGACGCCTTGTCGATCTGTTAGGCCGTGCGCATGCGCAGTGAAAACGGTTGCGAAAAAGGTGGGTAGCTTTACAAAGGAAAACCACAAGTGTGTGACACGCCAACATGACCAGCAGAACTTCTACCCATACTTCAAATTGTTTATCCTCGGTAAGTTGCATGATTGCCAATGTGCATAGAACCAATAGATAAACGGACTCTGCGAGGTTAGCACGAGCGCGTAAGTAAGGGTGACAGTAATTATGAACGGCCAAGATTACAACGCACTCGAAGATCATCAGGATCTAGGGAAGAAAAGAAATGAAAAACATTACCTCACTAAACCCTACACAAAAACCTAAGTTCACATTGTGGCCTCAGCTCGTGGTTAGTGCGCTCGTCTCAGCATCGGATCGAGCGGTCCTGGTTCGAGCCCTGGCCGGAGACATTATATTGTTTTCTTGGACAAGAAACTTTACTCTCAAAGTGCCTCTCTCCACCCAGGTGTATAAATGAGTACTGGCGAATTTAATGCCAGGGGTGACCCTGCGATGGACCAGCATCTCATTCAGGGGGAGAAGAAATACTCTTAGTCGCTTCATGCTACAGACGGGAGATAAGCGCCGGCCTGATGAACCACTTGACTCGCATGCAGACTTTTAAGTTCACGTTGTACCAAGGGAACAAGTCTTACAAATTGTTTGGGTTCACGTGCATGTACATCTTCAAATTCGCGGGCTTGAACCCCTCAGTTAAGCAATCCGGTCCCTGATTTACTTTGCCTTACCGTTTTTGCTTTCAAGTCTAAAACCGCGACATAAGTGGCGACCAGGAGTACCCTACGACACAAATCCACTGACCACCACCAACAGCACTCGGGGCGCAAGCCACTTCTCAGTGTATTTGCATATTGAGGATCAACCCTCCAGTAGCCTTTGGTTAAAAGAAACACCATGATTGGCGGAGGGATCACCAGTAACACAAGCACTAGAATAGCGATTACTGCCATTGGTAGATGCTGACCATGGAAACAATCAATCTCGCCGTCATAGAAGAACACGCGTTTATCACCAACCTTTGGGCAAAACAAGATGAGAAGGGACGTTTCCACGAAGTAGCTGTATATAAACACAAGGAGAAGCCAAAATGACCGCAGCATCGAGTTTCGACGAAAGTTAAATTTCAGGCAATAATTGGCGCTTAACACGTAGGCCAACAAGAAGATCGACAGAACGAGGACTGGAATGGCGTATCCAAAGGTGGTCGTGTATAAATTATTTAATCCTTTTATAATGCATGTTTTAGAGAAATAAATCAACGGACTTCCAAAGTTGAACAAATCCGCTAAAAAGAAAACATGTCCTCCTAAGTGGCTGGTGGGATTGAAAATGTAAGGGACTACTTGAAAGAAAAACAGGGGCCCTCGTAACTCGCTAGATATGATGGGATTGACCCAGATGACGAGAATGCACAAGGCGATCACAACAATAGTGACAACAGGCAACAGCCATCCAGTTTTGGAGCAATCAATGCAGTCAGACGACCTAGAAAAGTAAAAGAAAGTGGTAATTAGTAGTATCGAGTTGATGTTGAATTCAGCCTTAAGTATCAGTATAACCNAGAGATCTGCTGAAAGGAAAACATGTCCTCCTAAGAGGCTGACGGGATCGAAAATGTAGGGGAGTACTTGAAAGAAAAACAGGGGCCCTCTTAACTCGCTAGATATGCCGGGATTGAGCCAGATGACGAGAATGCACAAGGAGATAACAACAATGATGACAACAGGCAACAGCCATCCGGTTTTGGGGCAATCAATGCACTCAGACCACCTAAGAAAGTAAAAGTGATCATTAGTAATATTGAGTTGGTGTTGACCATGAATTCGGTCTTAACAAACGCTATTGAAAAAAATTCTTCGTGGCCAACTAAGTCAACTAAGTCAGTATGACCACTGAGCAAAAACAAGAAACTTAGACAGTGGTTAAAGTTTCTTGTTCCTAAAATCGATTTTTTAGGTTATCAGCCTTGCTTAAGTTCCTTTTTCATTTACCCTGGTGTCCGTCAGTTAAGCGAAAGCTGATTGTCATTACAGATAAGGTTGAGATTAACAATGATACCTTAACCCAACACTGGTATTCCCGGAGCATTTTCCACATAGCCATCCCTCACGGTTTTTAGAACACTGTCCATCACTGTTGTCTGGGTCAAATAAACACCCTCGTAAGTTACCGGGTGCACGAGTACAATTACAGTACTCATATGGACAGGTGTATGTGACCAAGGTACCGTCGCTTGTGATGCCAGCCCAGTACCCTTCCTCCAGGTAGAGAATTCCATCATTTCTACAGCTGTTGTGTTAAGAACAAACATTTAAGGTTACCGTATACCTTTTTGAGGTGTCTCGCGTCCAAGCGGTGTAGCGCGTCAAGTTTAAACTGTAAATACCTAAACCCAAATCAAAGCTTATAGAGCTGGCTAGCACACATCATCGAGAACTTTGGAATAAAATGAATTGTCGAATTCGTTACGACCTGTAAATGTGAAAAGCATTTATTTGATTTAGGGGTTTGGGTATCTACAGTTTAAACCGGACGCGCTGCATCGCTTGGACGTGGGACACCTCTCAAGGTACACGGTAACCTTAAGATGGAACGACATGTGCGAGAGCAGATGCAGTTAGTTGCCTTTGACCAAGGCGAGCCCCTTATGTAGAAACGACTGATTTCAATGGTGTTTTGTTCATGTCTACCAAAACAAAGTCGAGGTCATGTAGCCTACATCTGGAGCGAACAAGTTGAATTGATTATCATTTTACTCCCATGACAAGATTATTAAAGAATAACTCGCCCACGTCGAGGTGAAAATGTGAGCGGCCCAGATGGATAAATATAGCCTGGTTGTTAGGCTCGTTTTTTGCCGCTGTCTCGGGTCCGGCCGCGTAGAGGATCGTCGGCTCCTCCCCGGAACAGCGACCGGTAATTGAGCCTGTATAACTAATCAGATTGCGCAATTCAGTTCACGTGAGATGTCGAGTTTTTAACCGTATGTTACATATGGAAAATATGGACAAAATAACCCGGACGCTTTGTGCGAGTTTTGACTGCTAATAATAATAATAATAATAATAATAATAATAATAATAATAATAATA